GGCCCCCGGGAGCCACAACGCCACCACCTTCACTGTGGACAGGTAAGGCCGGTGGGTCGCGCCAGCATCGCCACCCTGCCCCTCCCGGCCTCGGGGCATCAGCTCTCCCTGGGCCCCCGCCACCCAGGAGGCCTCCCGCCAGCTCGCCCCTCGTGCCTGCCTCCCTCAGAACCCTGTTAGGACAGCCTTTCAACGACCTCCTCTGGAGCCCGAGTGCCCTCCAGGGATGCACTTGCCGCTCTTCATTAGCGATTCTTCCCGGCCAGGCGCCATCCTCCTCTCTCTCTTTAATAGGGGAGTGGAGCTCCACTCTGGATTTCTGGCTTCAGTCGAATTCCTAGTAGGTTGTAGTTTTTATATTCAGTTGACGTGACCAGGAGTTTCGAGCAATTTTCTCCTCCCCTCAGCCTCTCCCACTGCCAATAAATCAAAAAGAAACCTGTTTGATCAAAGAGGAAATGCAGCTTAGGGAAGATGAGGTGCCAGTGACCTCTTCCTCAGTTTACTGAACTCCAAAAAGGACTGGCAGTGGGGCCAGCGCAGGGCGTGGTGGTTAAGGTGCTGGACTCCCACGTGGCTGACCGCGATCTGAGTCCCGGACCCAGCGGTGTGAGAGTCACGCTGGCCGTGTGTGTGCATGTCCACAATCTCAGGAGGAGAAGGGACTGCAGCACAGTCTTAGCCCTGGGGGTGTTTCCCACTTTCCCTCTGTCTCTCTCCATCTCTCCGAGTGAGCACATATGTCCTAGGGCAAAAATAAAATATAAAATAAAACAAAAGGAGGGCTGAGGGTAGTTTAGAGAGTGATGTTGGTGCTTTCGTAGCTGCAGGGTTCTCCGAGGTAGGAAATACGTGGGTGGTTCTTCTTGGGGACCTTTGGTTTATAAATGGAGCTCAAGCACCGCAAGCTGACATGTGGGGTCCTGGCTTGGTGCTTGGCCCCCGGCCTGGTCCCCGTTTGTCCCTTTGTAGCAGAGCTCTCTCCTGAGCCTCCATGTTCCGTCTGCCTAGTGGGGAGGTCCCCGCCCCCTCCCTGTGACCAGTGTGACCCCGAGGCGGAGGCGTGGGGAAAGCCTCCAAGGGTACCTGGTTCATTGACCCCGATTCCCCGACAGGCTCAAGCCCTTCACGTCCTACAAGTTCCGAGTGAAGGCGACCAATGACATTGGGGACAGCGAGTTCAGCGAGGAGTCCGAATCACTGACCACCCTGCAGGCCGGTCAGTGCCCCCTCTGCCCCTTGGCTGCTTCCTGGGCACTGGACACTCTTGGGGGTGGGGAGGCCTCCACAAAGAACATGTGCTGGCCTGCTGGGGCCCTTGGCTCCTGGGCGGAGTCCCAAGGAGGTCTGGGCCAGAGGACAGAACAGGGACACAGGGCTCCAGACCCACTAGCCTCCAGGTGCACTCCCTCACTCAGCGCCCCAAGCTCCCGGGAAGGGGAGGGAGAGGCTGCAGCAGGGCAAGAGGTGTGGGGCTCTGGGACCCTGGGCTAGGCCAGCCCACTGCTTTCCCCCACCCCTCCACACCGGCCGCGTAGAGGACGACTTAGGCTGACCTACCCCGAAGTCCAGTGTCACTGGTCACGTGGGTTCCAGGGGCGGGATGGGGGTGCTGAAGCTCTGCCCCCTGAGCCCGCCTCTGCTTCTGTCCACAGCCCCCGACGACGCTCCCATCATCCTCTCGGTGACACCCCACACCACCACCTCCGTGCTGATCCGGTGGCAGGTACGGCTGGCCGGGGCGTCCGCCTCCCATGAGGATTCAGACATGCTCTGCGCCAAGGGCCAGCCAGGACCCCCAGGTTCTCGGTCCCCAAAGCACACGGGAACATGCAAGATCCAGACACGTGCATATCGAAGGACGTTTTATGCGCTCATGCACGCACACGCTCCTCGTTCCACTCCCAAGATTGTCACATCAGGCGGCTGCTGCCATCCCTGCCTGCAGATAGGGACTGAGACTCAGGAGGGGACCGAGCGTCCCCAGTCACACAGCTCGAAGGTGGTGGGACCAGGTTTCTTGGCCTTAGGTCGGCCCTGTCTGTGCAGAAACGCGCTGGGAGCTCAGGGCCCTGGCCTCTCCAGGAAACCCTGACTCCCGTCTGCTTCTCCAGATCAGCCTGACAGGGAAGGCTAAATGAGAAGACCGGTGCAGCTGGAGGCCGCTGGGGGCCACTAGGGGCAGGGAGGTGTCAGCAGCAGCCAGGGAAGCAATTAAGGAGCTCATGAAAGGCTGAACCACTTCAG